GTTTGGACTAAACAATAGGTCATCGTACTTCCAATATGGCCGACGAGTGGAAGGCTCAAACAACGACGCATTTGAACACGCCAGAAGAACACAACTTATGTTTTTACATCATAATAATTACTATCGTAAAACTGAATCTTACAATAAAACGTTCAACCCTCTCCTACAATCAATAATCAGATAAACCAATTGAATGTCTTATTAAATCATCACAAGGGCGTCTCATTGAGGAAGGGTTGAGCGGAGGCTTAAATCCGAAGGACGAAGAGACGATCGTTGACCGCGTTTAATTAATTTGCATTAATCCGCACGCGCGATAAGTACTCGCGCTGTTTGTCAGCGATCGGATCGATAGTTGCTCGGCAAAGTAATTCTGGGTAGCGATTAAGGTCTCGTGAAGCGATACCGGTACGGCGTCCAGGCGAACAATTCTATGAAAAGAACAGTTATCCCAATAACATACCTCGTTTTCGTTAAACACCTACGCCTACTATAAGTTGCAGCGTGCATAATGTTTACGCGCCTCGATACGTTGTCTCATTTTTTAGTAACTCTAATTAACATTACTTTCATTGCATTCAAAAGTGACAATTATCAATTGCATTAAAAATCGTATTAGGTGTACAAGGTGTGCAACATTAAGTAATGAGACTGACTTTTTTTTAATTATTTTATTCGAATAGAATTACAATTTAATATTGTCTCCCTCAAAATAAGTTCTTTGAGAAGCCACACAGCGCTGGGGTCGGTTTTCCCAATTCTCATAGCAGCGAATACTGGAATAGCGGTTAACACTAGATAGACTGAAACTTAGTATATACCTATATTGCCCAAAAGCAGTCAAAATGATGCATGCGGTTAGCAATGGGGATGAACGAGGACGTTCTAAAAAATCAATTGAATCGCTCCTCGCCGCTGTTCTGATTTCATATAAATTCGCTTGTTCCCGTGCTTAATTCTACGTTATAGATCACTTTTACGCATGGTAGATATTTCTTATACGCAGTAACGTACGACATTAGAATTGCACATTGATCAACTTAGTTTAACAATCATAAATAGAGTTTTCCTCTGTCTTGCTCCCATTTATTATTAAATATTAATATTACTCATTTATTTAACTATTCTCCAGCTTCGTTTCATTCCATCTGTTTTTTACTACAATGATACAGATATACGAGATGAGTCAGTGAAAAATATAATTTAAAATTATTTAATGATGATTATTTTCATTATAAAGGCAGAAACATATTTTAATTTGTTAGAATACAAAATTTATTTTATAATCTCCAGCATTAATTAATATCTTCTATAAATGTACAAAATAGGCAGTTTCATGATTTTTGTTTTGTTTAATGATTGAGTTTTGATATTTCTTACTGACTCGTTTTGTACATGAAATGAAGCAGTAGAAAATGTTTGCTTCCGTCCTCGAACATTAAACAATTATATGTTGCAGATGAGACTTTTATGCAGCTGTTAATGATCGGGTAATGGGAAATTCGAGTGGTGGTGCAAAGCAACGATATCTGATGATGATTGCAGCCTCGCACTAATTTCTTTACGCTCTACGATTTACCATTGTTGGTGAAGCATGGACAGAGGGCGTTTATTACTCGGCTGCAGAACCCACGTGCACGGTTATTCCAGCCAGCGATGCTGTCCACACCTTTCAGTCTACTTCCTACAGAAATTCGCCAGATCAAGGACATTGTTTTATCAAAAGCAGTTTTGTTAAGGATGTATTGGCTATACAGTCAATACCAAAAGTTTATGTACCTTAGAAAAACGCATTTCCTATAATTAAAAAGAAATCAGACGTTGGAGGAAGAATGATTTTGGATGAAAGAAGTTTAATTATTAATGTTAAATTGGTTTCTAAACAATAAAAATTGATAGAATTTGTTATATTGTTTATATAAGTAGTTTCCTATCACAAATTTTTGCCAGTGAATTCTGCAGGCTTTTAACCCTACAAAATAAAAAATTATGAATTTGAGATAAAAAATTTAACTGAAAATCGACACTCACTATGCTCTGATGGTTCAAAATGTAGAAATAGGATAGGACTCTTAGTATATCACATTGCTATATTATAGGATAGCAACAAAGTGAAGTTTTTTTTTGATTATTGCTGAGTACAAATTTTAAGTGACTAT